ATTAGGGGCATAGGGGGGGGGGGCGGGGGGGGGGGGGGGGAGGGAGGTTGGACAAGATCGTTTCGTTCACGTTGGAAAGCATACATAAGGCATAGATTGTTCTCTTGGCAGAAGACATTTGCACTCTATATGTATCTCAGCAGGATTTTCCCTTGATAGATATTTGAACTGAAGCTGTCATTTAGCGGGAGTCTCGATGGACAGATTTTTTAATCCAAGATGCCGATTAATAGAATTCTTGAACGACCAACACTTGAGCCGACACTTAATCATTTAACGGGAATTAGGGACGGGGTTTTTTTTTTTAATGAAAGTTATCGCAACTGCACTGTGAACAGGATGCTGGCCATACGTTTTCCGTTTTCTGGACCACCAGCTTTGATATATTCTACCAGCTCAGTTTTAAAGTTTAGGTGGAGACTGGCCATTATTCGTGCACGACGTAGGCGTGTGGCAGGTGTCTTGCATATGGTTAATTAAAACCAGCACAGAGCCCACCGGCGCCCGTAGGGGAAGTATAAACCTATACCCTTACACACATTACAACGGCATTAACTTTCCCTCATATGTCTGGCCAAAATTACCGTACCACGGAATGAAGAGTGCTCGGAATCTACGAGGATGTCACGGCTGACAAAGAGTAGGAATATTTGATTTTTGTGCTAGTTCATGAAAAGGAACGAACATTATCAACATACATGTAGTTTTATAAAAATCCGAATATCATTACTAGTTCGATAGATTCATTAAAATTAAAAGCAAACATCAAATTTTCAGCAAATGGCCAAATGTTGGATTAATATTATTTCTTGTGGTACTTTGCAAACTAAACACCGCTCGGAGCAGAGACAAAATGGCGAGTGCGACACATGACGACGAATACCTCAAAGAATGTAAACTGTCAATAAAAGACAAAACCATTGTGGATCTTGATGGAACATTTTGGACAAAGTAAGAATACAGATTTGTATTTGAAGGCCTGATAATGTCATTCAGTATGTTATGTGTCGTTAATGAATTTCGCGAATGTTATCGTGACGAGTGACTTACACTATTACTATTAATACTATTATATTTATACCTATTATTATTACATGTTACTGAATTACACTACACACACACACACTCTCTCTCTCCCTCCCTCTCTCTCTCTCTTGTTTTGTTTTGTTGTACCCTACCAGGACATCATACAAGCGATAAACACCCGGTGACACAAATTACCACAATTTATGGCCCCGCTTTATTCAGGTTCCCCGGCAAAAGCCAGTGTGGGGCTTTAGATAACGAAAATTTGCATCTCACACGGGGACGACTGATAACCAAAAAAAAAAAATATATATATATATATATAACTCTGATTATTTTCTTTTCTTAAACTTTCGGTTCCATAATTTATGCATCTTATTCATCATCAGTGTCCGGTTGTGCCATATGTCACATAGGGCTCTCAGTGTCTTCTTCTATTCCATTCTATCTCGTGCAGTCTCTTGGATATGGATGGAATCCAGTCCAGCACCTTTGGTCTTAGGCTTTAAGTTTTAGAGTTTTTATCTTTAGTGCCTATTTGGCGATTTTTTTTGCTCCTTTCTCCTTAGGATAGGCCCAGTGTTGTCTTCTTATTACCAATCTTTTTTTTCCTAGAAAGAAAGTTGCCGGTACTTTAAGTACTTATCATATGGCAAAGAGTCTAAAAAGGTGCCAGTGCTCACCACAGAATGCTGGCTTTGGATAGGACACACGTTTAGAAAACCCAAGAACAATATTATAACTAGAATGTCTTCGCACTGGAACCCACAGAGGCATGAAAATAAACAAAGATTAAAATAATAAAAAAGCCTGCAGAAGGGAGCTAGAGAGTGAAGTTCTGCATGCAATAATGAAGGATAGTTGATTGAGGGCCTCTGTTCCATTGGGGGGATAGAAGACAGAAGGAGAAAACTCACCATTAAATGTCTGTTACAGTAGCCCTCCACCAAAAATTATTCAAAAATAAAAAAAAAATGGTGCTGGTACTGTATACCTTTTTATACCGCCATAAAAAAACCTGCTTGTGTCTTGGGGTGTGTGCCTGTGTGTATGTATGTCTTTGTTTATCTGTGGGCCTGTGTCTGTCTGTGGGTGTGTGTCTGTATGTGTTTGTGTCTGCGTAAGCATCAGCGTCTGAGTGTGTGTCTGTGTGTGTGTATCTATGTATGTTTGTGTGTGTGTCTGCATCCGTGTGTGTTTTTGCATGTATCTGTGTGTGCGCATGTGTGCATGTATGTGTGCGTCTGCGCTTGTGTATGTGTCTGCGTCAGCATCAGCGTGTGTGTGTCATAGTGTGTGTTTGTGTGTGTTTGCGTCTGTGTGTGTCCACTTGTGTGAATTCGTGTTCGTGTGTCTGTGTGCATGTGTGTGTGTCTACGTTTGCTTCTGTGGGTGTGTCTGTGTGTGCATGTGGGTATCTGTCTGTACGTATGTATGTGGGTGAATGGGGTGTGTTTATGTATGTGTTTGTAAATGTATGTGGGTTTGTATATATGTGTTTTTAAGTGTTTGGGTGGACATTTGTGTTTGCTTGCACTAGTGTGTGCATGCATTTTACCACCCATGCTTTTGTGTTTTTCTGCCCTTGATATTCATAATATGCATATTATAGTATGAATTTAACATGCTTATTGATAAAACACAACTGTAGTGTGAAAGATGAGTGTTTGGAAGGGCCGAATGTAAGACGGGCCTGTGTGCCCAATTTGTGACCCTTTGAAAATTAAATTTGTTCGTTTGTTTGTTACCACTGGTTGCCAAGACATTTCTCTTTTTTCTGTACCCCTGTTATTGCTGTTTAACTACAAATGTTTTTATAAAGGAAAGAGCTTCTGCCAAAAGGTTGAGGTAGTTACTGGCCACGGAAAGAGACCTAGTCAAATGCAGCTATTTTTGCTTTTGATGTTTTTGAGGGGTTCTAGAATAGACAGGAGACGGTTGTGGCAGCACTTGATCTTAAGGATGCCTACAATAGAGTTAAATATGATATTTTGATTACTGCACTCATAGAGAAGGAGGTTTGTCCATGGTTTGTGAACTGGATAGCAGCTGTCCTGCATTCATGTAAGGTTGCTCTTCGCCTGAGTACGTGGACCTCAGAACCACGTAATATCGCCCCGGGGCTACCCCAGGGTTCTGCAGTTTCACCAGTGCTCTTTACTGTGTATACAAGCAAGATTGCAGAACTGGAATCACTAGGTGTTCGAAGAATATTGACATTTGGCGATGATGTTCTTGCATATAGGCAGGGTAGAGATAGGCGACAGATAGCCCATGAGCTACAGGCAACTGTAGACAAAGTGACTGATTGGTGTGCAGAAATAAATGCTGTCAAAACTCAGAAAAGGCGGCTGTTTCGTGGTGCTCTCTGGACAATAGAATTGTAAAAGCTAGCGTTTCAAACCTCACAGTTAATAACAGTTACTTCAAAAGAGAAAGCAAACTGAGGTACCTAAGTATCACTTTCGATAGAAGCCTGTCCTTCAGGGATCATAGGGAGGCAGTTGTGGTGAAATGCCAAAAAGGATTCAGTGCTCTCAAGATTATGACAGCAATAGACATGGAACAAAGAAGGCTGTTCACGATGTTCCAGCATGTGATCCTGTCGGTGATAGATTATGGACTTGGCATGCTTACTATATCAAAGAGTCAGCTGATGAAACTTGAACGCATACAGAATGAAGCCATGTCGGTTTTCTGTAATGTACAAAAGATACCCCGGTGGTATGTATTTGTTATATACTTACACTGCCTACTATTGCAGATAGGCTCAAAGTTCTGCAATCAAAGTCATATCTCAGAGTAGCTGCTGACAAGAGGTATCTCCTGCATGAAGCTCTGGATAGAGCTAAGGGTCACAGACTGAAAAGAGGACAGTCTTGGATGGCACAAGCTGAAGACACTATTGGACATGTGTGCAGGCTTGATAAATTTAGGCGAGGAGAGGATTGGAACCTATCTGCAGGCGAGAGTCTAATGCTACACTGTGCCGGCTCCCAGCAGTATGAAAAATATGATTTTGAGCATTAAATAAGACAGTGGGTTAATGTATCAGCTATACTGGCAGGAGGGAAAATGTTTATGATAAAAATAATGTCATTGTCATTCGAACCCAACAAAAGCAAAGTGAGTTGCATGGTACTGAGTGAATTAATGTATATGTGTGTAACATTTTATAAATATTTGGAAAACAAGAAAACCCATAATTTTCATAATATAATTCCAAAACTTAGCCACTAACTCTTTAATAGCCTCAACAGATGCCTTAGCAACCATAGCAATATTTTAAATCCTGTAGTAGCCCCAGTTACATTTAAACAAACATGGGTCATGACCATGTCAGTTTTAGACTGGTCACTTATTTATTTATCTTAATTCTGTCCAAATATGTTTAGAGAGTAATAAACAAACACTAACAGTGAAGCATTAATTGGAATACATACCTCTGGTTGTAGAACAAATATGTATTGTGTGACATGCTGTAAAGTTTTGGTTTTGCTGCTTCTTGAGGTGACATCATTAAAAAAAATTGTATGTGATCATGTCAGAATTCAAAATAGGTCCATAACTAAAAATGTAAGAAATGTAATGTTTTTAGATTCAGCTTAAAGGTCTGTGATTTTAATCAACAAGGCATATTTTTATAATTGATCTGAGTTCACAAGTTGACCCAACCTATAATTGATAACAGAAAATATCCAGAGAAATAGAGTCATACATCACCTATCAATTAGCCAAGTAATATATATGTTCTGGCACTATATGCTTGATATTTTAATGGCGTTAAAAGGGTTCTTCACTTCAGTAACATATTACATCATAATAAAAGCATTTGAACAGTATAAGAAGGAAACAGATATAGGAGACCCTTACCCTTTGTACAGCTGTATAGCTTAAATTACTATTGTTTTACTGTCTTTCATACCAGGAGTGAAAAAACACAATGGGTGATAGGCTTAACCATTGGCACAACCATGTTGTATGCAGCAAGAACTATCATGCCTCTTTGCATCGTTTCTGTAGCCAGTGAAATGGGATGGGACAAGACAGAATCAGTAAGAGTATTTTCAATGTTTCTTAAATGGGATATTCTGCCATAACCAGTTATATTATCAGTTTAATCAAGTATTGAAGTTCAGCTTATCTCAAATGACTTATCCAGTACACTGACTCAAGCAGACCAAACTTGTCTCTAATGCACACTGTTGACTTAATTGTACTTTAAACACCTTGTCTAATACTATCATCACTGACACCCTTTATAATACTTATAAAGTTGAGGCCAAATTTTCACTTTCTGCAACTTCTGTAAAATTGCAGTATGTAATTATCTGAAGAAAACACAAAAGAATGTATATTCAGACTATTTAATGCAGAAATGTGGACAATGGACAAACAATTAGTTGTACTGATACCCTGGAAATGCGGGTACACAGAAGACGAGGTTGTATTTAGTAGAAACAAAAACAGTCCAATATGAATGGGTTGCAGAGACTGAATGAAAAAGGGCTGTTGAAATAAATATAAACAGTTATGAACACCATACTGGAGGGAACAGTTGAAGGCAAACAAGTAAGAGGTGGACAACAATACATGTGGAAGGATAAGATTAACTGATTGGAAGATTAACACTTGGAAATTGTGCCAAGGGAGGAGAAAAGATCCACTGCACTCAGCCTTAATTGTGAAGACGACACCTGATTGAAGAAGTGATCAAGCTACTACATATTCTTCACCGGGCTTGCTGCACTAGTTCTTGTAACTGTTGCTTGCTTCCCACTATTACAGCTGTCAACAGCATAATAATGATTATTCTTATCCGCATAGGACGGCAGGTTACAGCTAGCTAGTGTAGTTGTTACAGGAGCCTTAATAATAATTTCTTTGGAGGTTGAACAAGGTAGCTGGGATCTGCCTTGTTAGTCTACTGTCAAGATTGAGATGTTTAAATCTCAGTGGTGGTGTAGTAAACCTTTAGGTAGTCGACCAGAAGGGACAGACAGATCGATCAGTACCAATCATTGTTTATCATTCTTCTGCTGAAATTCAGCCCAGGTAAAACTATAACTTGTTTTAAAATGCTTTATATGTACATGTGAAAAAAAAAAAACAACTTGTGGATAACAGACATCCCTTGTACTCTTTCTGCCTGTATGTCCCTGCATATGGTAAACATTGTCACATCTGATTGTTGACACTCATTCCTAGCATATGTGTTAATATAAGTCTGATATCCTTTCTGTCTAATCTGATATCTTCAAGACATATATCTTCTTCTTTCCCACTCTCAGAGGCAACCCGTAGCACCTTCGTCTATGCCAGTTGACAAGGACTTACAACCCGTAACTGCTGCCTCTCGATTTGTTTCCGAGACCATTTATGACCCAGGATGAACATAGCACAAAGCAGTTTTGTAGAGGCCATATGTTGCCCATAAATCATGATCCCTTTCTCAGCCTGTCTTGTTTACTCCAAAAGAAAGGTAACACCAATATATTTGGAGCAAAGCAGGCTCCAGAAGCTGCCGGATCAGAAGAGCAGTTGTCTCTGACCGCCTGTCAGAGCTTACCTCCTAGACCAGCTGCCAAGGCTAAGGACCTGGTCTGCCCTGCCATTTAATAAAGTTTTCAAGTTGCATTTCCCCTTCCTAGAAAAAGGCTAGTATCCTCCCCAATGTTCTCGGTTCGAAGCCATTTTGCGCATATGGCATGTCAGGTTTGGTATATGCCAAGCATAATAATTACCCTACTGGTTAAGACCTCACATTCATGGGACATTAAAGTACTTTATCAAAGGTTGCATCTATTAACTGTAGACAGGATTTTAAAAAAAATACAACAAATACATAGACTTTAATTTGTTGATTGTATTAGAAATAGTTTTAAACATGTTTTATTTTTATAATTTTTTACAGGGAACAGTCCTGTCAGCATTTTTCTGGGGTTATACGATGACACAGTTTTTGGGTGGTTATTTGAGTGATAGAGTTGGAGGTGATGTAGTGCTGCCTATAGCTGCCTGCATGTGGTCACTGATTACATTCTGGACACCACAGTTTGCCTATTTGTCCACTGACAAGCATACATCCCTGTACATCATTGTTTTGTCTAGAGTTTGTCTGGGAATATGCCAAGGTAAATTATTTGACATTGTCCATCTAGATGGCAAAACCATTGATTTATTTGTCATTATACCAATTTATTATGGAAGGACTGATTTTTTTTCTCTGAATAAATCAGGCAAGTGATAACTTGATTCCCAAAGTGTAACTCCCCTTCAGTCTTTATAATCATTCATATGTATATGTTGCATTATAAACATAGTTGGAGGTATATTTTGAGATATTGATATGAGTATAACACTTTTAACTCCACAATAGGCAAGATTTAGAAAGTACAGATCTGCTGAAGACCAGATAACATGTGTAGCCCAGGAGGATGCATTCCAGAAAGAAAGAAAAAAACATACACTAGCTATCTGGGTAGACTTAAAAAAAAAAGCATTTGATGAAGTATGGCAGCAGGGGCTGAAAGTGAACCTGCAGTAAAATACAGGTTTATGGGAAAATGTTCAGATGGATTAGTCACTTTTTGAGAATCAAACTGCAAGAACAAGAAAAAAAAGTGTTAGAGCAAGGTGTACCCCAAGGGGGAGTATCATCGCCAGCATTATTCTTAGCATATATAAATTACATTTCAAATAACTTTCCAGCCAGAGTTCACACCTCCTCCTTTGCTGATGACTTAGCTATATCGACTAGTGAAGAAAATATTAGTACAGCTAACAGTAGGGTCTAACAAGCTTTATCAGTGCTAGAGGAATGGTCAAAAACATAGCTAGTGAATATCAGTGAAGGGAAAACAACATGCACATTTTTTTCCCTCTCAGAAAAAAAACAACCCAGCTAAGCTAGTGCTAAATAAAAAAATACTGCTTCAAGAAAACATTCCAAAATACTTGGTTGTCACATTTGATTGCCGTCTGACATGGAAGACATAAGTAAAGTCGAACAAGACCAAGGCAAAGAATTATAATAAAGCTTGTTGGTACAACATGGGGAGCTGTGAAGTGATGCTTCCGCACTGTCAAGCCTGTCTCCACCTTTCTCAACATGCTCTGCGAGTCAGTTACAATCTCGGCATGTGTGTACAGCTGATTCTCAAGCCAGCAGAAGGTAGCAGTGACTTCCTCCACCTCCATTCTCAAACTAGACGTTGTGATGTTTGGCAGGCTTTTCTGCACCAAGCGACATCCATTTGCTTTTGCTATGAACCCTCATGTACCCATGGCTTCATGCAGGAGGTGCTTATTGTTTGCAGCTACTCTGAGATATGACTTTACCTGCAGAACTTTGAGCCTATCATCAGTAGTAGGCAGTTCCTTACTTACTTACTTAGTCGCTCCTCTTCTACCTTGGGGTGTAGAGGTTTGCCAGAGAGATCGCCAGACGTCTCTATCAGCAGTTTTCTTTCTGGCTTTGTTCCATTCCAGTCCTCTGTCAGTTAGGGACTGTCGGATGTTGTCTTCCCAGCGCACCCTGGGTCGTCCCGGAGGTCTGGTTCCCTGGTTCTTAGCCTCCCATGCTTACCATGGTGGCCGATTTTCTCCCATTCTGCATACATGTCCAGTAGTAGGGAGTGCAAGTATATATCTCATACATACTACCAGGGTATCTTTTGTACACACCAAAATTACCCCCATGGCTTCATCTTGTATGCGTTCAAGTTTCATCAACTGACTCTTTGATATGGTAAGCATTCTAAGTCCATAATCTATCACCGACAGGATCACATGCTGGAACATTGTGAACAGCATTCTTTGTTTCATGTCCATTATCTTAAGAGCATCGAGTCCTTTTTGACATTTCACCGCAACTGCCTCTACATGATCCCTGAAGTACAGACTTCTATCAAAAATGATATCCAGGTACCTCAGTTTGCTTTCTCTTCTGATGTTATTGTCATTAATTGTGAGGCTTGGAACATTAGCTCTTACAATTCTATTGTCCAGAGAGCACCACAAAACAGCTGCCTTTTCTAAATTGATGACAGCACCCATTTCTGCTCACCAGTCATTCACTTTGTCTACAGTTGCCTGTAGCTCATGGGCTATCCGTTGCCTATCACTCACTTGCCTGTATGCAAGAACATCATTGTTAAATGTTAACACCCTTCCAACACCTAGTACTTCAAGTTCTGCAATCTTGCTTGTATACACATTGAAGAGCACTGGTGAAATTGCAGAACCCTGGGGTAGTCCCGGGGAGATATTACATGGTTCTGAGGTCCATGTACCCAGGTGAAGGGCAATTATATGCGAATGCAGGACAGCTGCTATCCACTTCACAAGCCAGGGACAAACCTTATTGAGCACAAATATCAAAATAATCATATCTGACTCTATTGTATGCATCCTCAAAATCAAGTGCTGCCACAACTGCCTCCTATCTGTTCTGGAACCCCTCATAAACATCAAAAGCAAAAATAGCTGCATTTGACCAGGATCTTTCCATGGTTGGTAACTACCCACACCTTTTTTCAGGAGCTCTTCTTTTTCCAAAAAACATTTGTAGTTCAACAGCAATAATCTTCTCTAGCACCTTGCCAAAAGTATTTTGTAGCCTGATAATCCTGAACCCGCTGAGTGTGGAATGATCTTTGTCTGGTTTTGGAAGTGGGATTAGGTAGCTGTGTATCCAATCCTGGGGTACTGAAGCTGTTCTGATACTCTAGACATCTTCGCTTCTAAAGGCACAGCTCATGATGAATCAGATGCTCAGTATACAGAAGATTGAGACTGCAGAGTCCCACATAACTAACGCGTATGGCTAATCTGATAATTAAAAGCCTGCAGAAGTTGGATGTGTCCACCAAAAGGTGCAAATATTGAGCCATGCTGTAAATGGGCACAATGCACTTACATATTTTGATGAGTGCACACAAAAAAGAGCCTTGTAGTGAGTCTCATTTTCTCCTAGATAAATTATGCCTAGACAGAATGAGGTCAGTAATAAATGTGAGTGGAATATTTTGAGTCTAACTGGGACAACACAGGAATTGCTGATAGTCAAACTTCACGGGAATTGTAGAGAAATGCTGATAGTCAAACTTCACGGGAAGTATAATAATTCACGTGTAGAGAAATGCTGATAGTCAAACTTCATGTGAAGTATAATTATTCACGAGGGTCACACAAACTGCTGGCCAAATGTAATTCATGTAAAACGAAGAACACAAATTCAAAAGCACGAGGAGGGCATTAGAAGGTATATAATGCCTGAGAAAGGGCTGGGAGTCAGTCTCATTTAGGCCTAGGAAATGAATACATGAAGTATGATGGAGTGTCTGCGGAATACAGAAAGAGTGTTTAAGTTCGATGTGTCTGCACAGTGTTTTTCCAACGCCTACCTGGCCACCAGTAGCGGCGAACGGAAGTCGTAGCCAGCTGAGAATGTTTGTGTTTTTGATCGGATGGAATCATTGTTCATTCAGTTGTTGGATGGAAGAAAGACTATAAGGTAAAGTTGACATGTTAGATAAGTGAGGATAGATATGAGTGACTATGTTGTCCATTAACATTTACTGGCGACAATACCAGCGAGTGAACAAAAAAACATGTAATTTGGATCTTTCAACAGCGTCGATGTTTTCTCGTGTGTTGTCAGTCGGTGAATGGAAGCGTGATTTGCAATAATGCTTAAACAGTTATTTATATGGTTAATAATATGTGATTAAAAAAAAAGACTGTTGCAGAATCAAACCCAGCATTTTTTGACAGTTTTAGATTCAATAGTTTTGCTTTTGCTTTCTACTTCCAATTTGTCACTTCCAGTACCACTGTCAATAAGAGATGATGAACCGCCTGTTTATATGGAGACAAAGAAAGCTGAAACAGTTTGCCAGACAAAGAAAGCAGGAACAGTTTGCCATACAAAGAAAGCAGAATTAGTTTGCCAAAGAAAGCATAAATAGTTTGCCAGATGAAGAAAGCATAAATAGTTTGCTATACAAAGAAAGGAGAAACAGTTTGCCAGACAAAGAAAGCAGAAGCAGTTTGCCAGACAAAGAAATCAGATGTGCCAATCATTTCCTAGTGAACAAAATGCACTTGAAGACATTGAGATGAGTGCTGCATCAGAGGACAGCACAGTTAGGTCGGACCCATGTCCTAGGATGTCAAAGTATGGACAACAAATGACCAGTTTTTAAAGATGAAAGCCTAATTCTTTTTTATTTATTTCCTTTTGGGTCAGATTTTAATTAAATTATGTTTGTCTGTTCAGGTTTTCATTATCCAGGACTGACTAGCATCATATCTAGGAAAGTTTTAGAGCATCAGAGATCTTTCACATATAGCATTGTCTCATCAGGGTCCTATGTTGGGTAGGTAAAATCTATGAAGCAAATATTCCTGTTGAAATATGGAACATTGTTGAAAAATTTGGAAACATACATAACTGTTGTTTATAATTTCTTAAAATAATTGTGTTGTGAGATAAACACAAATGTTATCTATGAGTCCCAGCCTTTTTAAATTAATTTTTTATTGTTAATAACTTACATCCTAAAGGTGCCATTGATGTCCTCTTGATTTTTCCAACCCACATGTTATGCTACTATCATTAAATAAATTAGACATGAATAAGAGTTGGTGCAGTGAACTATGCCAGGCTGAACAGAAGTAAAGGAAAAGATGCAAACAAATACAGCTGAATGTTTTAACCAGTCTTCATCAACAGATAAAGCAAACTGATTATAAAACTGACAAGGTCAACCTGGACAACAGGGAACAGGTAATAGAAGAAAATACAGACAGTAAGAGAGTTATTGAGAAAAACAATTTTGTCTGCTTCATTTCTCACTTTAAAAAAAAAATATTTTACTAAACAGTACTTCTTCCTGTCATGCTGGTTGATCCCTGCCCCTCCTTCCTTGAAACATACACTTTATTACTATTCTCTCTAAACCATTTGAGTGTTTAATATTTCATTTTATTAGAAATGATACTGTTAATGAGACTGTCCCTTTCAGCATTCATTTTATGAAGAATGTCAGTACTTTCCTCTTCTTGGTCCGTTATGTGCTTAGAAACTTTCTGTCCTTTAGCATCTACCAATATCTTGTATAGTTGAACTTTCTACTGCCTGTTATTGTTTTTAAGGACACTTTTTACCGGCGGCATGGGTTCGATCATGCTGGATCATTACAGCTGGCCAGTGCCTTTTTATATAATTGGTAAGTTGAGTTTCTCTTTGTTTTGTCTGTTCCCTCTGATCATATGATTTTTTAAATAGGTTTTCCTGGTAGAGTAAGATCATTTTTGGGAGAGAAAAAACAACAACCACAGACCCTTGTGTGTGGTGATGGCGTGAGAAGGTGATCAGTGATTGCCAACATTTACAGGCATTGCATGTGATGATTGATAAATCAGCGTGCAAGACTTCATCTGTTGCAGGAAATGTTCCAGTGACAACAGTAATATTTATCTGGTCATTTCAGTGCACATATTGGGGATTTCTTTCTAAGGTGATTAGAACTAAAATTGTTGTTTATTTGATTATAACTGAATAACTCAGACTTCTTCAGCACTCAAATGAGCACAACACTGGAATTTGTTAATTGGCAGCTGCATCAACTGTTTGATGAGATTTCCAGTCATGATCATGAAATCAGCCTAAAACATGTAATGTTCTTAATGACACTACATCATGACCATACAAAACAGAGAATGTTATTAACATGGGTACTTTTAAGTATAATCCTCATCATCATTTGAAGTCATTTGTGTATGGCTGTGTATTACTTGACTAAAGCACTGTGAATGCGCTTTATAATTCCAAAATACCCGCTTCGATTCAGGTACAAGCTATTCAGCAGTAGGCCACTTTAGTGTTCACAATGTTTCCATTAATCTCTAACTTATCCCTTAGTTCTTCTCTCCTTTTCCCTCTGTTTGTGTGTATGTCCATACTTATGCATGTTTTTAGTTTTTTTAATTTAAGTAGTATTATTATTGCCAATATAAATAATGTCTATTTTTGTCAGTTGTTCTTGTATGATCATGTTTGGCATTTCTTGTTGTGTGATTAAGATTTGCTAATTTTTGTGTTTAAAATTGTTCTGCCTAATTTCAGGTCTGTGTGGCATTACTTGGATGCTTGTCATGCGATACATGTTGATAGCCAGACACCGCGAAAAACTGGTGCTGGCCTCATTAGGTGAAGCACCATTAATAGATTCCAGCAAAGTGAAACCGGAGCCAAAGTCAGCAGTGCCATGGGTGACTCTCTTCACAAAACCAGCATTTTGGTAATAAGGAATTGTTGGTCTTGTTCAGCATTACAGTTTTATTTTTAGTCTAAACCTTTGTCTACCAAGGCAGTAATAATCAGAAATATTTCTGTGCCAACTTGATGTTATAAGTGTTAAAGGACACTTACAACTAGGGAGCACACAATCATAACAGCAGAGATAAGATGTCTTGGACACTACTGGAATAACCAGCTGAGAAAATCAAACATGAATCAAGTGTAAGACAACTAGGGCAAAACTAGTCATACTGTTTATTAAAGAGCAAACATGAAATGGTTTGGAAATCTGACAAGAATGTCCTGCTACCAGCTGTCACAGAGAACAGGCTGAAGAAATATAATGAAAACAAAGCAAGAGGAAGACCACGCAAAACAAAGAACATTGAGAACAACCTTAAAGAAAAGAAGATTAGCTTATACAACACGTTAGAAAGAGAACACAGATGATCCTTTCCTCTTCTCTCAACACTTCGATGAGGTAATGAGAGAAAGAATCAAATAAACTTGTGTTGCACTTGTTGGTTTTTTTGGTAGTGTAGTTTCATAGTTTCACTTATTATTATTTTCATCCAGTTTTTGTCATAATGGAATTGTTACATTTTGTGGAATCTACTGTGATAAACAGAAGTGTATGTGCCAGCTATTTGGAAATTGTGATTAGTATATGGCTGTTTAATGTGTGTACAAGATGGCTACTACAGCATAGAAAAATGACTGCAGAAGATGGGTCTACTGGTTCAATTTAGAAAGAGGAGAATAGGTATGAGTAAGCTGCAGCAGCTGTTGATTCTGGTTAAAGTTTGTTGTCTCCTGCCAGCTTAAACATGTAGTCACCGATGTCTTAAATTATGATAGGTGAAAGTGTTACATTTGTCCACAGGTCATTATTGGTTGGTCATTTCTGTGAAAATAATGCATTCTACATTCTGCTGTCATGGATGCCAACTTACTTTCATGAGAACTTTCCAACTGCCAAGGTAATCATAAAGCAGTAATGACATTTAGGCTTAAACTCTTTTATAGGTATTTTGCCTTGATTTTCACAATGATGCAGGTAAATAATGGAACACTTTTATTACACATTAGATTTGTGTATCCCTGTGTGGGTTCTGGCACCCTGTTATAGGGAAAACAAGAATAGACCCACTACCTACCCAAAAGCATGTCGTAAGAGTCGACTAATTGGGAGCTTCCTTCAAAGTGGAAGTGCATCTGACTGAGAGGCAAGGAACCAGTAGTCTGCATATAAATGAGTCAGATCTGTAAAACAGATGCACATGCAAAACTCAGGTTCTGGAGCAGGGCTACAGTCTAGAAGCGGCTAAACAACCAGAACTTTCGGCCACAGTTTACAACTGGTGAACGCAAAGAAAAAGAAAGATATGCGGTACTTACTGAATTTGTGTGTGTAGACCAGCTGGCACTTGTGGGATGATATGGTCAGCATCAATCCAACCACTCTTTTTTTCATGTGACATTCTTGATACTCATTTTAGGCTGGCTTGATCTAGCAGTCTGTCTCAATTTTTTTAAACTCTAGCTTAATACAAGTTCAAACCCATGCCAGGTTTGAAGACAAACATGCTACCATGATGGTCAAAAATGATACAAGTTGACAGACTTCGTAATCATTCACAATTTTTTTTTCTTTCTGAGGAACATTATTTTAAACAGAAATGCAAATCCAAAGTAAAACAAACCACATTGATGTCAGATAATAATTATGATGATGTTAAGTAAACAAATATAGGTTACAGTAAAGGAAAGGAACTAGAAAAAGTCAAAAGTTTCTTCTATTTTTGACAAGTAGTAGCAAATGACGGAAAGAGAGGGCCAACCATAGAGATTAATGGAGACGGGTGATATCTGCAGCAATGAGCCCCAAGGGCTCGGAATGCTGAAGAAGTAGAAGTAACAAATGATGTTAGAAGTGAAATAGAAACAAACTGGAGAATAGGATTCGCCAAAACTTCTTCTTCTTCTTCTTCGTTCACCGGCTGTGAATTCCGGCAGAAGGTCCCGGTTAATCGTCCGCTTGGACTTTTGGCTTTTACCTGGACCTGAGTTTTGCGTGTACAACCGTTTTGCTGTTCCCTGCCTCATGGGCAGCTGTACTCCGACTTCGAGGGAAGATGTCAGGCCTATTTCTAGGATGACTGTGGCCATTGTTTTGAATGGGTCGAGACATTGCCTGATTTGTGTGGTGTCCACTTTGTCTCCTTCTCCGCAGGTATTGCCCCCGGAGTACCCCTTTGGGGCAGCCCCCTGTGGAACGGTTGGCCCTCAAGGGAAGGCAGGGGCAGATCATGGGCATTCCCCGCCATCCAAGGAGGCTTCCATTTTTGCAGAGCCGTCACATGGCGCTCTGGTTCTGGGCTCACCCAAGGAATCGTCACATCCTGCACATGCCTGCTTGACCTCACAACCGTATTAGGCCTCCCGCTTGACAAGGGCTGCGCCCTCCGGAAGTCAGCGGGGAGCAGCCAGCGTTAGGTATCTTTGACGAGCCGTTAGCCCGACAAAATTCAATATCCTGCATCAGGCATATCGTTATCTGTTTGGTCTCAGCACTTGGGCGAGTGGGGTCTTTTGGTGAGGACATTTGGACTTTTTCCGTTCAATACGATTTGTGATGATCAGATTTTGAGCTTAATCGTGTGACGTAGGTTCTAGTTTTGTTGGACATTTAGGCTTAGATAGCCAATGGATGGTTGCTGTCTTGGTGTACCTCAGCGCGGTGACGACGACACTGAGGGTTAACAGAGGATGTACATGGGTAGAATCTTGCTGATAGACGCCACACACAGGAGATGTTACTCATCTGTGCTGCGGGTAAATCTCTAGGTCAAGGGTTGAGTCTCAGCAGAACAATGTTCTCTTCACTCCGCAATCTTTTAACCAAGGGTTGTAATTTTAGTTGTACATTCGGCAAGCACTTTACTCATGTTCCTAATGAGTTTTGATAACCTTTTTCACCCATGCGTTTGGGGGCAGGCTGATGAGAGCCACAAGGACACATCACCTCTGGGGGCAGCCAAACTCCGAGATCCCCTGACAGCTCTGTTAATGCTCATTTGAGACATTATATGTGGCGCACGACGAGGACGTTGCTCAGGGGTCTTGCGTGAGGTTCCGTACAACCAGAACAGTGAAGGACTGGCGCCCGAGTGACGTACCGAGTATCTCCTTATACACATCATGTTAGACTTAACTTTCCCTCACGCCTGTGACATAAATCACCGCGCCAATCGCCAAAACTATTTTCAGTTGGATGAAAAAAAAATATTAACTTCTCAGGAAATAAACAGCATGTTACAATCATCATAATCAAGTGCCTTGCCGATTGGTGTGGGCGATCATGCCTTTCCACAGTCTGCAGCTGCGTGTATCAGTTCATGTGTTGACATCCCTCCAAGCCATGACAAAAGACTCAAGAACCTCTTCACGCTGTCTTCCTCTGTCTCTCTTTCCACAGATCTTTCCAGTGGTCACAACATGTTCGATTTTCCCTCTTCTCATAACATGACCAAAAATAATGATTGTCTCTTTCTAATGTTTGTGATAGGTTGTCTAATATTTGGTGCTGCATTCACCTCTTTCAAAACATCTGGGTTGCTCTTCTTAGCTGTCCAAGGAATTCTAAAGATTCTTCTGTAAAGCCACATCTCTTCGGCCTCAAGATATTTTTCAGCTTGTTTATTAATTGTCCAGGCTTTACAGCCGTATGTTAAAGCTGGCTCTTTAAAGCATGATATTATTTTTTCTAAACCTCTAATGACATGGATTTATTGCATAAAATGTTCTTCATTTCGTAAAACGCAGTTTTGGCCTGTCCCATTCTATTCTTTTTTTCTCTGTGACACATCTTCCATCGGATGCTATCTGTGTGCCTAGATACTTAAATTTCTGTACTGGCCCTAAAATATGCCTTTGACTTTTGTATATCTTTACTACATTTTTTTTTTTTTTTTTCAAAATCACCATTACTTCTGTCTTTCCATTACAGTAAGAATTGTGAAATGTTACAGATGCTCAACCTTTTCATATATATATATATATATATATATATATATATATATATATATATATATATATATATATATATATATATATATATATATATATATATATATATATAGTACAGAAACTTCAGTGATAAAAAGCAAACAGAGAGTTGAATTGAAAGCCAGCTCAAGAGTGTCAATATACAGAAGAATAGGTTTAGCTCATGGAGACTCATAACCTTAAGGGCACAAGGCAACTAACATAACAACCTCAGCATGAAAACCTCCTTAGCTAATATAAAAAAACACATGTATGGAATCTATGGTGGAAACATAGAGTTTGGAGAGACTAAAAATGAAAAGGTTTTAAAAGAAAATAAAGACAAAAGATAAGTAAAATATTTCTGCCTCATCAAAAGAAGAACGCGTTTTAAAACCACATTTGCTGGAGCAGAGCATGTTGAGAAAGGTGGAGACAGGCATGCTCCGTGCAGAGTGGCAAGCATCACTTTAAAGGTCCCAGTTCTGCACCACTTTGTTGTGAACTGATGTATGACAAGCTGGATGTTGTGAGGGCCCATTGGAAGTGAGTAAACAGTGCTGAGGAACAGATAGCTCATTACGGTCTGAGGAGAATGACACTGCGAGGATTGAAAATCAGACAGTTACTGGTACCATCAGAAGTTTAACTCTTTGCTTGCTGCTGAAGATGGGGGACGGAGTGCTTATGGGGGTGTCCTGAGTGCTGTGATGTCGATTCTTAATTCAACATTTGCGGGAAAAGTTGAAAGCTAGCAAGCAAGAGATAGACAGTTTGCTTATTTACAGATTATCAAGGACTGACTGCCTCACTGCCATATATTAACTGTTGTTCTGTGTAACATGCAGGCATTCATTTTTTAACCGCCAGTGACAGATTTTGTGCATGTTTTTAATATGAAATAATATACGTTTTGCTTGTCCCAGCATGTCCCAGGTTTCTGTGTTACATCACCCATGTACACTTATACCTGAATTTCTGGGATTTCTCTAAAGGAGCTTTTCAAATCACATGAGATTTTGTAGTAGATGCCCAGTATAGTAATAACAGCAGTGATAGAGTCTGAGTTTTTCACTCCTGCAGCTGCAGTATATTTGGTGCTGCTTTCTTTTTTTTTTTAGTATCAAGAAGCCATGAGTTGTTAACCTTTAGGCTCGATATTATGGATATCGCAACCTTTCGGCCTTGATTCCATTGTAAATACCATAAATCTGGGAGAAAATGTGGCTTTCCTGCCTACCCCCAGGATTGAACCCGAACCACAAGGAGTTTGTCACTGGTCTCCGCGCAATCCGGTTTAGCCAATTACAAAACATGAACACATAGACATTAGCTTATCACTGAAGTGCATCTCTTTAGATAGAAAGAATAATGCTGTTGCCTTTAATTTTTTGTCTTTCTGTTGGTGTTGTGTTAGGTAATTTATGATGTGTTTAAGAACACAGTAGTTTGATGTTTTCATGAAAAAAAATATATTTCTCCTCAAACAGGGTTGGGTGTTTAATGTTGTGCCGTGGGTGGTTACAATACCAAGCACAATAGGTGGGGGATGGCTAGCAGATAAAATGATTACCAAAGGTGAGCAAACATTTTCTCTCCAGCTAAGATTATTTATGTGAAAATAGTTTACTAAAAAAATATTGTATTTATTGCTGCTTATTTTGTGTGTGTTATAAGCTGAGGGGGTGTCCATGGTGAAGTGGTTAAGTCATTTGCCTTCTGCCTTTAATTTTCTAGGTTTGATTTTAGTTTCCATACTTTGGTTGGCTAAATATGCTGTTTCATAGATCCCTGGGGGCTGTTACTTGAGCTACAGAGCTTCCATTTTGTGCTGCTCCTGACAGGGTGATCAGCCACTCTGCAGGTAATCCCAGCTATATGGGATAAAATTATATCTTAAAAGGGCCCTTTCACTTTTTATCATCCGTTAAACTTTATTCATTCATTAATTTTCCTGTTGTGCCATTATATGTCACATACAACTGACAGTTTATTCCTGCATTCTGTTCTGTGCAATCTTTTCAGTATCATGGATGGAATCCAATTAGCACCTTTGGATTCTCTCATTAGTGTTCACTTTAGGGTTTATCTTAAATGTCCTCATTTTCTCAATCCTTTTGTTTCCATGTTAGAGCCTGTTTGGTGATAGTTTCCATGTTAGAGCCTGTTTGGCCATAGTTTCCATGTTAGAGACTGTTGGGTGATAGTTTCCATGTTAAAGTCTGTTTGGCGATAGTTTCCAGGTTAAAGCCTGTTTGGTGATTGTTTCCATGTTAAAGCCTGTTTGGTGATAGTTTCCATGTTAAAACCTGTTTGGCGATAGTTTCCATGTTAAAGCCTGTTTGGTGATAGTTTCCATGTTAAAGTCTGTTTGGTGATAGTTTCCATGTTAAAGCCTGTTTGGCGATAGTTTCCATGTTAAAGCCTGTTTGGTGATAGTTTCCATTTTAAAGTCTGTTTGGCGATAGTTTCCATGTTAAAGCCTGTTTGGCGATAGTTTCCATGTTAGAGCCTGTTTGGTGATAGTTTCCATGTTAAAGTCTGTTTGGTGATAGTTTCCATGTTAAAGCCTGTTTGGCGATAGTTTCCATGTTAGAGCCTGTTTGGCGATAGTTTCCATGTTAGAGCCTGTTTGACAATAGTTTCCATGTTAGAGCCTGTTTGGTGATTCTTTGCTCATTTATTCTTATGATGCATTATAACTTTTGATACTAGTGGTTGCCCAGGCATTTCTGTTGTTTCTTCACCCCTCTTGAATTCATGCCATCATGTATGTACCCCCTGTGCATCCCAGGAGAACTCATCTTGCTTCTTGCATTTGTTTTATTTAATTTTATTCTTGTAAAGAAGTTTTTGAAAGTACTTGGAGTTATTACCCTGAGGAAGGTAATTGATGAGTATTACCTAGAAGTGGTCCTACAAGACAGTATATGAACTTTCCTAGTTTTGGAGTCATAGAAATAGACTTAACATTTGTCAGTAGTAACATATGCTCCTGCCTGCCTCACTTAACCCTCCTGCATGTACAAGGGAAATTTAAACCAGAAGCATGTCTTTACATAGATACATAGTACACCCGCAAGTCTTACCAGTTTCTTAGTCAAGTGCAAAACTGTTTGACTAGCCTTCACTTAGTTAACCCCCAGATAATAGAACCAGCATGCTTTCTACTTAATTTTCTCCAGTGTCTGTTTGTTTCACCATCACAAGCAGTGTGAATGACTATCAAAATATACTAAAAATGTATCTGGCCCCCATTAACCCCGTCCCAAATCAAGTATGAATAATGGCCCAGAAAAATGACTTCTATGTTGAATAATGTCAGCTAAAAGACATCAGTTTTGTAGCTCTGCTGTCATTGACATGATGTAAGTATCACCTATTTAAAAAAAAAAACACAGATGAATAAAGAAGAAGAAGAATATTTGCAGATATTTTGAAGTTGCCAGTTCTCTGTAAGGGTTCTGGTGCCCCATTGGAGAGGTGTGGGGGGGGGGGGGGGGGGGGTTATATCTACTGCTGTCCCCTCCCAGTCTCCTAATTTGGGGTGTTTCCTTTAAAGTCAGAGTTATCAGCCTGAGAGACTAGGAACCAACAGTTTGCATACAAATATGCCAGATCTGTTGAACAGATGTGCATGCAAAACTCAAGTTCTGGAACAAGATCAAAGTTAAGAGGTGGATTAACAACCAAAACTTGAAGCCAGAGTTTACAGCCGGTGAGTGTTGAGAAGAAGAGGTTGCCAGTTATATGTGCCTGCGAGTTTACTCTTTATTTACTTGAAAAACATGTCTGCCCACAATGCTTTTATTCACTATATATTTTCCTCTTATACTTGACTTGTAGCCTCTAATTTATCTACCCTTACTGTATTGTCTGCGGTTGCTTTTGTTGGTTGTTTTATCTGACTTCCCATTTCTTGGGGTGTGTGCCAGATTTACATCGATTTTTATTACTATTATTATTTATTGCAGTCTGTTTATGTCATTTAATTAAAGAAAAAAAATTTAAAATAGAATCTCTTTATTTTGAAAACTTTTATATCGTCCATGTTAATGTTTTCAGGTTACACAGTTACTTTTGTGAGGAAATTAATGGAGGTAAGTTAACTCTTTGAAGACATGTAACCATTTTTGTAGCTTCTGAATCCATCACGTTTGGACAAATCACCTCTTAAGTGGTTCCAGGGATAGACACTTTAACATTGTTTCGTTTTAATAGGAAAAGGAATTTGTATGAACAAAGCTTTCCAAGCTTGGTGAATGGATTACTTTCTGATTTGTTTTAGATTAAATTAGACCGATACAGTTTTTGTGCGATTTCCCTGACCAAGTGGTCAGGCAAATGGTCTTGAACTGTCTGTACTGATACTTTTTTTGATAAATCTGAAACATATAGTGACAATAGTCATGATATTATGATTAATAATGCATGTGGGACACCTACTGCTGACAATATGAGTTGGGGTAAAGTTGAATAAAATATTTCAATCTGATTGTCCCTGTCTCCATCAGCTGTGTCCAGACTTTGGTTGATAAATTTGACATCTCACACAAATTGTCATAAAATCCAAAGCATTTAGATTAATTGTCTCAGATAAAGACTAGCTGATGCATAATTGAATATAGTAGGCATGTGCATTCTTAGAAATGAATATGAATGTTGTTAGTCAAGTAAAAAGTGAGGTAAGTAAAAAAAATGTCATGTGTATAAAATCTTCATGTGTGTCTAACATCCTTGAATGTGATATCTTTAAAAAAATTTTGTTGTTGCATATTGAACTTTTATTAGTTTAGAGATATCCTGTGTTCATTTCTCTTTAATGTGATATATTGTGTGCCACTGTACATCCAAAACATTTTCTTCTAAAAGGTTTGAACCTTGTCATTTTGCGGTAACAGAATTTCAACTCAGAATTAATGCTGTCCAAACCCCAGAAAAAATGCCGTCCTGAAAGAGTTAATTTCGTCTCACAGCTCATCTCGACAAGGATCTCCTTCCTCAAAGTCAGTGTGGTTTTAGAAAAGATTGTGGAACTGTTGATATGATTTTCGCTGCTAGACAGCTGCAAGAGACATGTCAAGAGCAGAATTCAAACATGTTTTGCACCTTTGTTGATCTTATGAAAGTGTTTGACACAGTAAATCGAGAGAAGCTGTGGAGGATTATGGAGAAATTTGTTTGCCCACACAAGTTCATCCAGATAGTGTGTCAATTTCATGATGGCATGCAAGAAAGAGTGCAGGATAATGGCGAACTGTCAGGGTCCTTTCCTATCACAGAGTCAAACAGGGCTGCATGCTTGCACCGTCACTGTTTAGTCTGTTACTGTCAGCCATGCTGACTGATGCCTTTGTAAATGATCACACTGTAATCGACATAAATTACCGCATGGATGGAAAGCTGTTCAACGTCAGGAGGCTGAAAGCAAAAAGGAAAACTAAATCAGACACCATCAGGGAGCTCCTGGTTGCAGACGATTATGCCCTTTACGCCAACACAGAAGCGGATATGCAGCACAACATCGATAAATTCAGTGATGACTGTACAAACTTTGGGGTCACCATCAACAAAGATAAAACTGTAGCCATGCACCAGCTAGCCTCAGGGCAAAGATACATCGAGCCCAATATCACAGTGAATGGCCACAGATTTAATGTTGTCAGGAAATTTACTTATCTAGGCAGCACCGTTTCACAGAGCGCCACAATTGATAATGAAGTAAATGCAAGGATCTCTTGGGCTAGCGTTGCCTTTGGCAGATTGTAAAAAAATGTTTGTAACAGAAGTTGCATAACCCTGCAGAGAAAGCTTAAAGTAAACAGAGCAGTTGTATTAACTACACTGCTGTACACAGGCGAAACATGGACTGTATACCAGCGCCAGGCCAGAAAGTTAAACCACTTACACACAGTCTGCCTTAGAAAACTAATGCAGATCAGATGGCAAGACAAAGTACCTGATACTGTAGTCCTTGAGAAAGCAGCCATGCCCAGCATCCACACTCTACTGATGCAGTATCAAAATCGTTGGGCTGGTTATGTGGCACGCATGCCAAATCACAGGCTTCCAAACAACTCTTCTATGGTAAGATGCAAAATTGGAAACGTTTCCAAGGCGGGCAAAAGAAACGCTTTAAGGACACCTTAAAGTTTTCACTCGAAGCATTTGGGATGAATGACACAAATTGGCAGGCTGCCTCTCAAGACCGAAATGCATGGCGTGCAGCTCTACACAAGGGCGCGGCTGCATGTGAAGCAAACAGAACAGCACGACTGATTAAGAAAAAGATGGACAGAAAGGTGACTGCAGGAGATCCCCTCCCTGGCACAACACTCATTCCCTGGCCTCCCTGTCCAAGAACTCAGCCTCATCAGACATCTTTGTACTCATACTTGATGAAAAAGAGTTGTCATCATCATCTTGATGGACAACACACATATTTTCTTGCATTTCCTTGTTATTAAATCAGAAGCAGAAATGCAAGATTGTATACAAATGTTTGAAACCAGTGAAACAGGGATGTGTTTTATATCATATTCTGTTCTTTGGCACAACTATTAATAGTTGATGAAAAACATGTTGTTTTGGAAACACCAGCATTGACATGGTAGAGTATGCACATTTGGAAGATCTCGATTTTGCTGATGATATTGTTCTGTTTAGGAAAAACAACGATGTCATGCAACGAAAAACAGATGATTTAGCAAGTATTACATCAAAGGCTGAACTACAAAGAAGTTATAAAAGCTATATTGGTCACATCAATAGCAGATTAAGCAGACGTAACAGTAGCGACAGAAGGAATTACAGTAAAAGATCAGTTAACCTTTTTAGGTAGTAATATTGATAATGAATAAAATGCAAAGAAAGAAATTATGACATGCATTGGCAAGGTGTCAGCAGCTTTTAAAAGCTTAAACAAAATAGGGAACTCTAAATTGTGAAGTTTTAAAACCAAGTTACGTATTTTCAATTCTAATATTATTTCAGTTTTAACATATGCCAGTGGAATTTGGAGAGCCATTAAATTCATGGAATGAAAGTTAAAGGCATTAAAAAACAAAATGCCTGTGAAAATGATGAACGTAAAATGGGGTGAATTTAGGAAGGGTGAAGAACGGAAATGTCTGGGAGCTGCTAGTCTAAGCAGTTATAAGACAGTTATAAAATGCTATATTGGACACATCCTGAGAAGAATGAGCAGAAAATCACTAAAATCAAACATGTTATTAAGTATAAAAGTCACATTAGAAATCAACACAATCATTATTTTATGGAGAACCCACACTTGTTTTTTTATGTCCTCTTGATCCTCTTTTTGCCATAACTAGTAATTCAGAGCTAGTAACTCGCCCTCCAAAAAGCAACATCAAAGTAAATGGGACAAACCTCAAGCAAGTTGATATGTTTAAGTACTAGGGTACCCTGATAGCATCAGATGGAAGATGTATTAAGTTAAATGTAGAATAGCTCAAGCAAAGGCAGCATTTTACAAATGAAGATTTTTTAATACAATTTTTCTTTGTCAGTTGATACAAGAAAGATAATTCTCAAATGCAATATAAATCCTGTCCTGATATGTGGAAGTGAATCTTGGACATGATAAATTAATGAAAACTGATTTGGAAGCTGCAGAGATGTGGTTTCATAGACGGATGATAAGAATACCCTGGACATATAAAAATAGTAATGAAGATGTCTTGAAGGAAACTGACTCACCAAGAGAACTGATTGCCCACATCAGAAAGAGACAATCCATATTCTTTGGTCATGTGATGAGAAGGAGAAAACTGGAGTACCTCGTGACAGTTGGAGGGGAATAGGGACAGAGAAAGCCCAAGAAAAATCATGCTGGACAATTTGACATTAAAAGTACACAAAACAGAAGATTTTTGGATAGACATGACTACCAATTCCACACGGCATGGACTTTGAAGAAAAAGAAGTAATTCAGTTATCTTAACAGATAAGTAAACAGTAAATTCATAAATCTATATATATAAAAATCAATGTTTGTGTGTTTGTTTCACCCCTATAGACTCGGAAACTACTGAACCGATTTAGCTGAAATTTTCAGGATATGTTTGTTGTGATACCTGATTTTGAACTGTCGTGGTTTGAAATTCAACCTGTCACTGTTAGAGATAGGTGACCACAATTTATGCCAAAATATACGCAACTAATATTTATAACTTTAGTGATTTCTAATTATAGCCACGTTAGTAATTGCGCATGCGCCGTATTTACCATTCGCCGGCGAGTTACGTGCAGCCAACGCCTTCTCTAATACTAATACATAGAGTAGGTCGTGGTACAGCAAACAAGACTATCTCTATATTTGCCACAATAACCATATTAAACACGATTTATATTTTCTGTTTTTTTTTTCAAACAACCTTCGATGGGGTGGGGGGGGGGGGTGCAATCAAGGACTATCTCGACGTCGGCGCAGACAGTGACTGCGACATTAACTTCATTAACCGTGTTAGACACATGCGATTTCTATTTCATTAATAAATTTGAAGTATCTGTCTACGAGAAAACAATTGCCTGCGGTTTTGAATTGTGTTTTAATCGCGACACAGTAGTATGGACTCACATGTCTAATAGTTGAGTTCTTTTTTCGTTGTTCCGATTAAGTGGCTGCTTGGTCGAATGGTTAGAACACTGGGTTCATGTGCGGTAGACCTGGGTTCGAATCCGCAGTCGTTAAATTTTATTTTTAACCCCGGACTAAAATAATATCCTCATCTGCTCTGCCGTGGTGACAGCACTAGCCATGTTGCCTTAATATTTAAAAAAAAAAAAAAAAAAAAAAAAAAGTATATGGGTAAACCATTTGATAATTAAATTTGACCATTTCGCATACTTATGATTGCATTGTTAAACTTTCCGATTGCATGGTTACGCTGAAATTTTATAGATTTTCATTTATTTTCATTTAGATTTAGTTATTTCATCTGTGTTGGAATTTTAAGCTGTGCTGTTTACAATGGCGTTCATTTCCTAATTATGGTGTGTTTTTTTCCTGTGTTCATTTGCTTTTCAAGTGTTGTTGTTGTTTTTTTCTCCTAACTACTTCAATGAGGGAAAGAGTTGTCGGTGAATTTGGGGGGAGGGGGGGGGGGCAAACTGTTAACTGAGAGAGCTGTAAGTCACAGTAACTGCTTTACCCACTTAAAGTAGCAGCAGCAGTAATAGTTGTTACACCAGGGCTGTTACACCAAAGGGCAACTCATGTGAAGACCGCCGGAAAGGTTATGGCGTTCTTCTGTCGGCAAGTGAAATTATACATCCTAACCTGACCAGTCTGTGGCGACAGCACTAGCCATGCGGAACCAAATCTTCTCTACTCTCTGTCTACTCCGATGGTAACACAGATAGCAGTGACATTATTTTAGTAGTTGTACTGGTGCGTGAAGGATGATGTGGTAAATATTTCACTAGCCCTATTCACTACCTTTTACAATTCCTGCTCCTTATTTTAGTCCAGATGGACAGGGATGTCAATGTCAGTTACAGCAACAACAAAATATCGCCAGTTAGTGATTTTTAAATCCTTCGAAGTGGGAGAGAGCAGTAGTCGGTGGAAGAGGGGAGGGGGTAATGACTTAAATTTAAGAGAAATTAAAGAGCTTTACACTTGATTTTCAAGTTCTCATTGCCTAATTTGTTTATATTTTACTAACGCTACCTCCGCTTTTCTATTTTTTACGACTTACTTTGTTATTCACAAGTACAGTTGTAGCTTTACTTCCGTCCCCTATAAAAATACAAACAGCTTTAGCATGTGATAACCAAATAACCAGCTTTTGTTACTGTGCTAATAACACCATTTAAACGACCACTAATATAAAGACACAATTATAAGGTGCGTGTTCTAAAGTTGGAAAACCAGACTATCGCTATATCCGTGCAGAGAATGATTGCGACATTAACTGTATTAGACACGTGCGATTTCCATTGTCTTTCTTTTCCAAAAACCTTTGATGAGGGAGATAGTAGTAGGTGGATTTAGTTGTGGTGGTGGGCGGGGATCAAAGACTATCTCTATATCTGAGCAGACAATGATTGTATTAGACACGTGCGTTTTCTATTTTCTTTCATTTTCATTTAGCCATACTATGCCACAGCAACGCGTGGCCGGGTACAGCTAGTTCATTATAACAAATGTTCATGTCGTCTTTGTAAGTTTCTGATGTAAATAATGTCTTCACCTTGAGTTCTTCTCTCTTTTTTTGGCACAGACTGTGGCATTGTGTGGGACAGCCTTTTTCCTCTTCGTGATATCCTATGCCAGCAGCTATTTATCCTGTTTAATTTGTATGGCATTAGCTGTGGCTTGCTGCGGTTTTCATAACAGTGGTATTCTGGTCAACCCCCAAGATATAGCACCTAAACATGCAGGGGCAGTTTTTGGTAAGCGTTTTATGTAATTCTTTCTTTCTGATTTGTTTGTTTTTAAGTGTTCCTGTTCTGATGAAAATTATGTTTCTTTGGTAAAGAAACTCAAAATCTGTATTATTTCCAGAAACATGAAGATCTTCAGCATGCCATTTTTACTAATGTCCTTAATTGCCTTGAAGAGCAGATTACACTGGGGTATTCCTTGGGTAGATGTTATGGGTGCCCTAGTTATAACTTGTGGGTGTCTACATCGCTGGGCATTTGCTCTGTTGAATTTTCATCCTTGATGTGACTGAGTTACAGGGATGTCACATCTTCTGATAATAATGGAAAAACGCGCTCTCCATCTGACAGTACATCCGATGGTACATGTTTGTTCACCAGCATAATGAGGTCATAAAATGTACACTTGGAAAGAATGGAGAATGTCAAGAAACATAAAAACAGAGATTAGTATTTGTTGACCATTGACTTATATACTGGCCTTCCCTGACCAAGCTATAAATAATCAGACTTATATACTGGCCTCCCCTGACCAAAATAAAAACAGTCAGCCTCAGATAATTTCTTCATATGACCAAGCTAAAAACAAACAATCAGTCTCAGATCATGGCTTCATATGATCAAGCTAAACAATCAACCTCAGATCCTGGCCTTCTCTAATGAAACTTAAAAACAATCAGTCTCAGATAGTGGCTCCATGTGACCAAGCTAAAACAACAATCGGTCTCAGATCCTGGCCTCCTGTGACTCATTTTAGGAATAACCAGTGTCAGATTTCCCCCCTGCCATCCTTTAATAGTGAAGTAACAATCACATGATTGAGTATTACCATTAATGATTGAATATTGCCACTAATATGTGATATGTGTATACAGGTATAACCACATAACACAGCAGATGCTCTGTGTATACTAAATTGTTATCTGCCTCCACTGACTACTCTCACCCTGATACTTACAGCATGTAATCTAGTCACTTGAATCTTCTACAGGTATCATGAATATGGCTGGTGCTGTTCCTGGTAAGTGCAAATGCTAGAATCACCCTCCACATTGTTATAGACTGTGTGTTAGACCGAGTATTGATTGAATGGTTTTATTTGTTTGTTACACACTTTATAAGATGAACTTAGGGAATCTGATACCTAGCATGCTCAGATGAAGGTTTAAAAAAAATAGTTTTCTTATGCACATTATAGGTATGAATTATCTTAAAGAAGTTGGAAATCATGAGTAAAACATAATGAATCACTAGTGTGTGCTTGGAGGTCAACACAATTTAAAATGGGTTCCATCCAAGTTCCTCAAATATTGATTTATCAGTTATGTGCCAAGACATGTGGTCAACATATTTCTACAAACATTCGGCTGCATGCACTAAACATGTTTCCTACGACATGGTTCCTACCCAAATCACACAAGAAAAAACACATAATATGCACACAAAAATGCTTGAGAAAAGTTATGATCTTCACTATAATAGACAGAATTGGAAATGGCATAGATCCTATCAGCTATTGTTTTGTACCCACAGCCATAGAAATTGTGGGCATTGAGCTAGGGGAAATAAGAATTCAGATGGCTGGATGAATTATAATGAAGGAATCATGAAGAAACACAGTTTAGGGGACACAAATGACTTAGGATTAAAACCCTCAGTTTACTTCTATACTTATTGGCAAAAGGTGAACCACAGTGCTATCCATACAGGGATAGGTAATAGTTAGATCGAATTTCCAATAATTACCAGTTATAAATAATGATTCAATCATCAGTGCACATTATTTCAGTTGTATCATTATTATATTGTACACATTGTAGAAAAACATTGACTATTCTGTTACTTTTGATTGTATGCTTGTAACCCATTCTACTATCTTTGTCTGTCTGTGGATTCATGGCATTTCTACAACTTCAGTTCAGCACTATTTCACTTATTTTAACAAAACAGCTTTGATAATTTGAAAAAATAGCAACTTGTACTAATGTTGTTTTGCCTATACCAGGTTTTGTGGGTGTCTACATTGCTGGGCATATTCTGGAAACAACAAAGAGCTGGAATGCTGTCTTCAGCCAGACAGCTGTTGTCTGCATGTTTGGATGGGCAGTATTCATAGTTTTTGGAACTGGGAAAAAGATAGTGTAATTTAAAATGTGACAATTAACAAAAGATGTAAAGTTGAAAGTATGATGAATAAAAAGATAATATGTGAACATCTGGAAGGGACTATTCAATCACCTTATATTAGAGAACATGTTTTATTGCCGAGATGAGTTATATATTAGTAAAATAATTATTAAAATTTTTCTCTACATATTTAAATAATTCAGTTATGCCAGCTTGGTCTACCAGAGTGCGCTTTGTACGCATGTGCGTATATGCTCATGCTGCTTAAAATAATGACTCCTGATGTGTTTGCCACCTTTCTTTATTTTAGCACTTTGTGCATGAAAGCAGGTCCCAGTTCATTGTGTAGTAGTGTGCATAGTTGCAGGAGCATTAAAGTCAAGAGGATATGTCCTTAGTGAACTTGTTGAAAGGTCTTTATATGCAGGAAGACCAACTTTCTTGCATCAGGTTTTCCCCCATGTGGCTTTAGTCTCTAGGCAGGGTGGTAGATAAGCTACCTTAATTAGAAGTTGTCTTTCAAATTATTTAATTATTCAGTTTGAGTATAGTATGACTGTCTGCAAGAACCTTTTTAACGTAGCTGATACATGATATGGTACGCTTTCATTTTGTTATGTGGACAGTATTCTTTTATTTGAATGTCTATTGATGCCATCTTGTGAGTTCACAAATGTAACACTGTAATGAGTCTTTTTCTCATGGTTAATTAATATTCTCATTTTTAAATGAGGTTAACTACTAAGCATTAATTATGTGCCTGAGTTTGGTTGAATGGTATTGATTACGAAGTGTAACGTACGCAGGAACAACTTTGAGTAATGAATAACTTGAGACAAGAGTGTGAGTTGGCTGTAAGTGCATCAGGTGAAAATAAGTATGAATTATGTGTGGAACCTTTGAGATGGAAGCAGATTTGTTAAAACTTGCAGTGATGGAGAAGATTAGTCTTGTTTTCAAGGTTGAGAAAGCCAGGTCAAGGAGAGCTTAAAGAAGTGAGTGACTCTGCAGCGAAAGTGAATATTAGAACAAGCAGAAAAACCTGAATATCTAGCTCCGTATGAACGGCTGAGTTGATGTCTGCGGCGAGACGAGTGTTTTCTGCTCAAGTGTACGTCTGGTAACTTGTGAAGTGTCTACAGTTGAAGGTGCTCTGTTTGGTCATCCTGTAAAGATAATGTTAAAATCAGTTGATGTCTTGTATGTGGCTGATCTGGTCGCCGTAGATGGTGCATTGATGGAGGAGACAGTTGTTGGAACCAATAAACATTTCACATCAAATCAGCGGTTGATGTTTCCAGCAATCCTTGTTTCATGTTCAAGATTGTGTTGAACTATCAGTCACTGCGCCTGAGAAGGCTGCATGCAAGTAGAGCCGGAGAGAGTTGTTGCAAACACTTTTAATTATTAGAGTGGGTATATGTTTGGTTTTATTTATATTTGAATATGTAATATTTACATTTGAATGTAATTTTTGCATTTGACGATGAATTTATGTTTGACTATGTGAATAAGTATTGAAATACATTCCTTGTGGTTTTAATGAGAATATTTTCTACTCTTGACTGTATTATTGGATTATGAAATATTGTCACACATTCTCGCATTTAATAGAAACAAAGTGTTTGCTGTGCATCAGATTGACATAACATTGTGCATATTTTTGGTGCATTTTACAGTTTACCTCAGTTGTATGCAACGTCAGTTTAGGTTATTAACCCTTCTTAAGGTGGGATCTGACTGTATGAGTCATGACTCAACACCGCTGAAATTGTTTTCTCTCTCGCACCCCTACATAAAATTTATACTAGATAAATATCTTGGAGGTATGGTTTATAATGTGATACTAGCTGCATCATAATGCTTTGGTTGAGAAAATATGAGCCCCATCCCTAATATGAGACAGTGGTCTAGACATGATGTCCTTTGCTCAATCCTAGTATTGATTTTACATTTACAGTATATAAACCTAAACCTTTTTCAAAGATTCATCTAAATCTACTAGTACTTTAGACAAATTATTAAGTTTTCAGTTTTATATAAGAAATAGATGAACACCAGTAATTTTCAGTCACTTATCCAAAATGTAATGTGTAATGGTAAAGTTTTTAGTAAGATACTAATCAGCACAGTACTGTCTAACCACTGTATATCCCTTTTATGGAAAGATATTGTACAATATTCATTTCCCCTGGAAATATTGGGTATGCCTCTCTGAGTTTGAAGCTCCTGTCTGTTTTTTTCTTTTCTTTTTCAGCTTATGTTATTTATTTGGAAGTAACTAAATTATAAAAATACAAATACCTAGTGTCTGCATGGCAAGCAGACTTATTGATATTTGTTAACAAAGCCTGGACTGAAACCAGTCATACACTCTATTTGGCCATCTGACGAGAATGCCCTAGTACAATCTGCAATAGAGCCAAATTGAAGAAATATAATGGACATGGATAAAAACCATGTCGAAATTAGAACAGTGGCATCAAAGATAGCCAGCCGTAAAGAAATAAAGATCAACTAAAGAGCGTGCAGAAGATCCCTCCAACACTTCAATGAAGTAATTGAAGGAATTTAAGAAGAATAAGTTTCTGTTAACTTCCTACATACATACCATATATATTTGTGAGTATGTAGCAAGGTCTGTCAATGTTACACTAATTACTTTGAACTGAGCTCAGCAATAGTGTTCTTTGTCAGATTTTATAAGATAAGCAGATTCAAAATTTTCACATTCGGTGAGTTTTTCAGGTTTATAGGAGCTGGAGTGGCTTAACGGTTGACTGAAGTAGGCTAGGTATGAGCTGCATTGTGGATTTTAATAGGATAAGGAATACGACAATGCTACTCTCCTCATAGTCTTGGGATAGTGAAACAGATATTTGGTGTTCCTAGATAAAGACAGAAAGCCAGGATGTCCTGTAGCCACATTGCATATGTTAAAAATGTCTAGGCAGTTTGCATTTGAAACGAGCAGACAAAATAGGCTGCATCCAAGAATAAATGTACACTTCCAAGTAGAACTGCAGAACCTAGAAAATAAAGGAAGATTTACAGATGTGTAATTTTGGCACACCACATTTGAATCGACACCGGTGCTTTAGAGTGGGTTGACTGTGCTGAGACTGTGATTGTAACAGACTCACAGAGCAAGCTTTAGAAATTAGAAACTGGCATCTTGATTCAGATAGCTGCTAATTTAAATCACCAACACACAATTACAGGTTTTTCCATTTGTCTTCTTCTTCTTTCGTTCGCCTGAAATAAGTTGTCTGTATCAGCAGTTTTGTCTCTGTCGTTGTTAATTCATTTAGTGGTCCATAGAGTTTACGTTCCACTGTTGTTCTTTCTGGCCAAAAGGTTTGCCTTAATGTGTCAAATTCGGTGCAGTCCTGGAGTACATGCTCTGCTGTCTGGGGCACATTTCCACAGGTGCACATGGCTGATACACCTATCTTGAATTTTGTGTACATGTGGTTATGTAATTGGTTGTGCCCTGTTCTGAGGCGGAGGATAATGACTTGTTGTGGTCTGTCCATAATAAAATAGTCATCTCGTGCTGGGTCTGGTGGTTTCCTGATCGATTTAATGATTCTTTTCTTTTGGTGGCATGACACTGGTACATCAGGCTGCTCTTTTGTCGCACCTTCCCCTGCCAGCTGATCAGCTTTCTCATTTCCTGGCACTCCACAATAAGACGGTATCAACTGCATTACGACTCTTCGCTGAATGCTGAGTTGTGTCAGCAGTGTTTGCAATTCTGGTAGTTTCCTAGACTGGAGTGCTTCAAGTACGGATTTAGCATCTGTCAGCATTACCACATACTGTGAGCCAAGACTGGTATTTAGTAGTTGCTCTGTTGCTATCTTGATAGCTTGAGTTTCTAATTTAAATCACCAACATACAGTTACAGGTTTTTCCATTTGTGTCTTATGAAATTGTTTAAAAAAAAAGAAATCAAGTCAGCATGGTTGATGTTCTCTGGAAAGAAAAGTGTTGGGGACTTCTAAGCCCAAGCATGGATTTTTCTTGCCTTAACAGAACATCAAGTCAGTAGTAAGTCAACATCTGAATTAATGTAGCGAATGCTCATCTGATTTTGATTTCATTCATGAATTTTTTTTTAGCAGACCTAGTATCTATATATATATATCGCGGACAGTTAGGATTCTGCCCGCACGATTCTGCGATTCTGAAAAGATTAGATGAGGTGGTCCAATGGAGCGGTATGCAATTCAAACCGCAGAAGTCGAGGAGTCTGTCAATCCTGAAAGGTAAGGTGGCAGCAATCAGTTTTACGGTGGCAAGAAATTGGATCCCCATGGTTCTAGAGGAACTGGTGAAGAGCCTTGGTCGCGTTTATGATTCGAAGTTATCTGATAGAGCTTAGGGCACGGGAAAGTCAGTTGGTGGTCCAAAGCCACAGCCAAAGAGCGCCAAGACATGGTGATACAGCAGTTTAGGGACACCGAAAATGAGTTTCGGTCCAGAAAGCCGAGCAACAGTCGCAGCAAGGCCAGTGGATCGGCCTAGAGAGCGCCTAGCCACGAGTACACACATGGGGTGAGATCTGGAGAATGGCCCCGCTGCGACTGAGCTTAATCGTACAATCTGCCTATGATGTATTACTGTCCGGTGTTAATATGGTAAAGTGGAGTGCGGCTAACGACCCAACATGCCCGCTATGTAGAGCTAAACAGACGCTCGAGCACGTACTGTCCAAATGCAGAAAAGCCCTAGGTCAAGGCAAGTATACTTAGCGCCACAACAAGGTGCTGAAAGAGTTAGCAGCTGTTGTGGACCAAGCTAGGATGACGGCCAAAGCGAGGGCCAGTCCTACCATCGTCCCTGTGCGCTACCTTAAGGCTGGGCAGATTTATAAAGGTAATTTCAACAAAGTCGCATACGCTCCATCAACTGACTGTGCAAGGGACTGGTTACTGGTGGTTGACCTGCCTGGTCATGAAAAGTACCCTGAGTTAATCCGGAAAATTGGCCTGCGACCAGACATAGTTCTACAC